TGGAAAAGGAAGGAAATGCAATTCTTTCTTCTTTTTCCTCCCCAAAGCCCCCCATTGCATGGTTGTATATTATAGTTGTAAGTCCTTTTGCTTCTGTGTGAGCTGCAGCTGCAGCATGGAGACTGACAGACGGTGGTGTGGTTCCATGACTGGGAAGCGACCCTGGGCTGCAGAAGTGGTGAGAGTGCCGAACTTTAACCACTAGACCATCATGGCTGGCTCAGGAAAAGACGCTTCTTGAAATTACAAAGAAAGAAAGAAAGAAAGAAACATCTCTGTTTGAAAGGCCCCACAGGAACCAAGGAGAGGAAGTAAGAAAAATGCTTCCCTCCCCTAACACATCACAGTGAAGTGTAGGCATACCAAAGACAAGAGAAAGTTCTTAAATCTTCCCCAGAATGACGATGTGTAAAGGAACAAGAACTATCCGATTCTTCCTCAGCTCCTCTGGATGCCAGACGACACTGGAATAGTGTTTTGAAAGTATTGCAGGAATGAGAAGCCATGACTCTAGAACTGTATACCAGCCACATGTCATCCAAACGTGCAGGTGTATTTAAACCCACCCTCACGTCTATGAACCCACAGAGGCTTTGCAACCCAGAGACCTGCCCTAACACAAGAGGGTCGGGGGCCCAGAGACACCAGCTAACACGTGTGGAGCGAGGGTGACCAAGCGCCCTGAGAAAGCTGACTGTCCATAATGAACAGAATTGAAGTCTCATTGTGTCAACATAGCATGGCTGTTGGCAGGGGTGGGGGCTGCCATGGACCAAAGGATGTGACCGTATGCCGCACTTCTTGTCTCGCTGAGGGAGAGGTATCGACCTCATTAAAAAAAAGAAGACGGGCAGCTCCGTGGCCGAGTGGTTAAGTTCACGCGTTCTGCTGCGGCGGCCCAGGGTTCGGATCCTGGGCGCAGACATGGCACCGCTCATCAGGGTACGTTGAGGCAGCATCCCACATCCCACAACTAGAAGGACCTGCAACTAAGATATACAACTGTATACGGGGGGGGGGGGGGGGTTGGGGAGATAAAGCAGAAAAAAAAAAGATTGGCATCAGTTGTTAGCCCAGGTGCCAATCCTTAAAAATATAAATAAATAAATTAAATTAAAAAAAGATTGGCAACAGTTGTTAGCCCTGGTGCCAATCTTTAAAAAAAAAAAAAGAAGAAGAAGAAGATCAGGTTAACAAAGACACTTAGAAACAGTGGGATAAACTGCAGTCATGCCCTGACGTGGTAGAAACAGGTCCACAATTATCAATAAACTGATGAATGGAAGTGGCCCCACTACCTGGTGAAAGTCAGAGATTGTCAGATTGGATAAAAATCTAGATATTTTCTGCTTACAAAGACGTACCTAAAGCATGTGGACACACAATAGCTGAAAGTGAAAGTCTGGAAAATGATCTATTGGAAATATTCTAACCAAAGAAAGATGTCGTTGCTCCACTGATAGTAGACAAAAGAGACTTTAAAACAAATAGGGTGATTAGGGTAGAGAGGGTCATTATGTAATGATAAAGCCTCCACTTACCAAGAAGATATAGCAATTTAAAATATTTTTCATCTAATAAAATAGCTTCCAAATATATGACTAAAGATTGCTAGAACTACAGGGAAAAGTTGATAATCCCCCAGCAGAGAGAGAGATTCCAACCCACCTCTCTCGATTATTGATAGCTCCCACTGATAAAAACCGGCAAGTGCATAAAGGATCTGTACTACACCAGCAACTACCTTGACACTTAGCACTGCTTCAACCATCAGAGAACACGCGCATTTCTCAGGGACACACCAGACGTTTACAACAATCCATCAGTGTGTGACAAGTCGGGTATGCACAAAACAGCAACAGTTTCAATGGGGGAACCCAAGAATGAAGAGAGAAGTCAGAATGAAGTTACAAATTGGTTACAAAATGAAACATTTTAGTGCCTCTGGAATATGAAGGACACCATGCTGGGGCAGCCCTGTGATCAAGCGGTTAGAGTTCCTGGCGCTCCACTTTGGCAGCCCGGTTTCACCGGTTCAGATCCCAGGCACAGATCTACTCCACTGGTGAGCCATGCTGTGGAGGCATCCCAAATACAAAATGGAGGAAGACTGGCACAGATCTTAGCTCAGGGTGAATCTTCCTCACCCAAAAAAAGAATACGATGCTGAATAACTTTTTCTGGTTAAATAGGAAGTCATAAGTGAAATTGACATAGTCCTAGAACAGAAAGAAAATGAAACTCTGGGCATCACATGTGCAGCAGAAGCCATGATTCATGAAAATGGAAGGTTAAACATCCCACAGAAGGAGAAAGGCAGAAAATGGAGGAGCTGAGGGCCATCCGAAGAGGAGATTTCAGGACTGTATAAAAACGGGAAAAGATAGGCACATTGGAGGTGGGTGTGCATTTGTATACACACAGATAAATGTCTAGAAAGTTATAGAAGCAAGCGTCCACAAGCTCTTCCTCTGCGGAGTGAAAGAGGAGCCGCAATGAGACACCGCAGGTTGTTTCACTGTATCTTCTTATAACATTTGAGTGGTTTGTAAGGCTTCTGTATTAGTTTCGAAATAAACAAACTAGTTTCATTTTCAAGATATGTAAATACTTTATCAGTGTGTGTATTGGCATCAAACTCCCAATGGCATCTCATTGCATGGGGAGGAAAGACTGTGCCCTCAGCTGACATTCAAGGCCCCTCCTCATGCAGGACCCTCCTCCCCTCCTGCCTGAACAGCCCGATGCCCCAGGGACTTGGTGGCCACAAGCTGCTGCCAGGAGCCCCTGCTGAGAAAGAGAACCTAGGAGAAGGAAGGACTGATTTGGGATGTGGCCCCAGCGACAAGCCCTTCTTTCCAGCCCAGGGGATGGCATGGGGCCTGGGGGACAGGCATGGAGGATGTGGGGGCTGGCATTTCGGTCCCCAGTCTGGGTGGGGCCTCTCTCTAGTGCCTTGTTGGCCCTCTGGGTGGGGCCGAGCTTCTGGCCTCCGTGCCCTCTGTGCGGGTGCTGAATTTCACACTAACCACAGCACATCTTCCTGTGAGGACAATCAACTTTGAGTTTCATCTGCCCACGAGGCAGCTTTTGCTTCATTGGAAAGTCCCAGAGGACTTTGATCTGTTTTGCCCAGATCCAGACCCTGGGGCACTGGCTGACCTTCAGGTCCCAAGTCCAGCTGGTGAGGTGACCCCTCTCTGTCTCTGACTGCCTGGGAGGTGTAGACGCTCTTCCTGTGGGGTAACTGGGACGTTCTGCCGTGTCCTGTCCGGGCTCCTCCTCTGCCACCACTAAAATTCAAGGATTCTCCAGAATTTGGTTGTGTCCTCTCTTCTCATGAAAGTGGGGCATCACCCACCCCCGATACCCTCACTGCCTGCCTGACAAGAACTTGCCCACTCGAGGGCCCACAGCCGTGGGGACCTCTCCCCTGGTGTTCCAGAGACACCTCTTTGTCCCTTACTCCACTCCACCCTGCCAGCGTATCACCGTGGGTTCCAGTGCAAGGGAATTGCCCATATGCTGGCACTGGGGTCCACCAGGCCCTCTACCCCACATCCAAACTGCCAGTATCTGTGGGTTCTCCTGCCTCCATGCGCCTCTGGGCCTTTCCCACCCAGCCACGGACACACTAAGGACCTCCAGACTTGCTGCCCCCCACCCCGCATTCCCATGGGCTTTTGGAAGTGCAGGTCTGATGAGAGGCATCCCTGCCCATCAGCTTCCCAGGTCACTCTGCTTGGAGCCAAACCCGTCTTCTGGCCCCTAGCCCACCACCTGTCCTAGCCCCTCTGCTGGAACTCTCTCCCCAAGAAGCCAGGCCGGGCCCCTGCTCCTGCTCCCACAGGGTCTCCTTGGTCCTTGTGGTCATCTGACTCATGGCTCTGCTGCCCCAGGTGTAAGCTCACGGGACAGGAACTGTCTTCCGGCTGGATCTGCACACTGGCCCCTCTGCGATGGGGAAGCTGAAGCCTGGAGAGTTCAAGCATGTTGGTCAGTGGGAGTGACAGGTGTGGACGAAGGACAAGCAGCCACCTCTTGGTCTGTACTAATTACAGCTGGGCCCAGGCTGGCAAGCCACGGAAAACTGGGGAGGCCAGACACAGACCAGAGATTAAGGATTCAAGGCTACAAGCCGCTTCCCTCCAGCGACCTGGAAGACAGAACCAGTCACAGAGTCACAGGAGGAGTGAAACCAACACCTCCCCCCTGGCCACCCAGGTGGCTCATACACGTGCCTCCCTGTTCCCTCTGTCAGGGACTCAAAGAAAAATTTTCATCACGGTGACTTTTACAATAAGCACCAAAACCATTTGTACCTGAGGAACAAACAAATCTGGTAATGAACTCCCCACTTAGCATGCTTCTCCATGGTTGGCGTGTGTTGGCCTCCACCCTCTGGGGATGACCTCTCACAGGCAGGGCTCCGGGACGCCTGAGTTTGTCCACAGTGTGTCTGCACACCCACCCAGTAGGACCCTCAGTGGGGAGCAAGCTGAGAGGAGGGGCCCCTCAGCTCAAGGCCTAATTCAGGGCAGTTCAACTTTCTGCCCCGTACAGGCTCGGGTGCTTACTGCCCTTCACTCTTGTCTGCTCGCCTGGCGCTGCCTCCACACGGATCCACCTTGCATTTCCGACAACTCTCAGCCTTAACAGGCTCCTGCCGGCCCTCAATGGGCTCAGGGGGCCCACGGTGTGCGTGCACGTGTGGGGTCCTCGCAGGGACGTGAACCCACCCAGCTCTGCAAAGAAGCATCAGCGCTTGAGCATAGAGAGCTCCGGGCATCAGCTCTCCCGGAAGAGTGCCTCCTGCTCTTTTCCTGTTTTCTTTAGAAGGACAATCTAATGAAGTGTTTCTAATAAAAATGTAATAAGGAATTCTGTACCAAGAAAGTCATAAACTTTTCCTGTGGACTCAGGGCAGTTCTTGAGACTCAAGTGATTTCCCATAACTCGGGTTTCCCTCTATCTCGGACCTGGTGCCACACCTCCCGCGGATCCTGAATCGTTAGTACTGCCGCCTCCTCCCCTGGCTCCGCCCTCGGTGGCTCAGTTTTCCTCTCGGACGGAGAGGAGGGAAGAGCACAGACAAGCAGCGGCTGCCAGTGAGGAGGAGCCGCACGGGTCAGGAGCAGGAGCGCAGGTGAGGGGCAAGCGGGCAGGGAGGGGAGGCCAGGAGGGGCGAGGGACATGGTGGGTGGCTCAGAGGTTGACAGTGGGACTCCGGTGTTGGCGGGCTCCGCATACTTGGATCTGCAGGGATGGAGACTCGAGAGAGTGGAGCTCCCCGACCCTCACCCGCTCTGGCCACTTTTCGCTTTAGAGACATGGCCCGGAGTGCTGGCCGGGGTCCATGAGCCAGGGGGCTGGGGGTGCAGGGTGCGTGCCAGGGGAGGGGTGAGGACAGGGGCTGCAGGTCGGAGAGGGGACCTGTGTCTCTGCAGGGCACCCCCAGGCTCGACTCTTGGAGGGGCAGAGAGGTGGCATCTTGGGCTCCCCAGGTCTTCTGAGTCTGGACAGAGCCCCCTCCGGCCCCTTGACCACAACTAGGGTGAAATGCATTCAAGTCCAGGCCCAGTGCCCCGCGGTGGCACTCACCCTCGTGTGCACCCGCAGGGGCATGCGCACACACTCACGAGCACTCACGCTCGCATTCCCATTATGCTCTCACACGTACTCACATACACACAGCACTTGCGCTCACAAACATTTGTAAAGCAGAAATGAAATGCCCAAGACTTCCCCTAACCAGGGAGAGCACTCTACAGTCCATTTCCACATTCTCCTTTCATTTTTGGTTTGACCGCAGCAGCAATCTCTAAGTTAAGTTCACCACCGTCAGCTGGTTAATGATCTGCAGTTTGAAAAACACTTTCTGTGCCTGTGGGTATAGGAGCCAGAGCCCTTGGGAGACCTCCTGTCTGGGGACAGTAACGGTGAGGGTGATGGGAGATGTGCTTCCAGCCGCAGGGGCCAGGGCAGGGCTGGCACGGGCAACCGGACTGGCGGTGGGGGAGGAGGTGGCTCGCCAAGAACAGGAGGCAGCCAGGCAGGGGGGACATCCTGTGCAAAGGCTGTGAGGCAGCAAGGGTTTGCTTGTACCCTGGCCTGAGGACTACTGGCCCAGCTGGGGTCCCCTCCTGGCGATAGCAGCAGGGACCAGGATATGGGCAACAGCACCCTGGACGGGGGCGTTTCCTCCGCTGAGCTCAGGCTGGGGCTCCACAGCCTTAATAGGCTGCAGCTGTCTTCTTGTGGTGGTTCGTCACCTCTCTCTACAGTGTTGATGAAAGGCCACCTGGGTCAGTGTTGTGCGCAGCCTTTCCACGTAAACATCAGCGTAGGCACCTGAGGCCCCTGAGCTGTAGGAAAGCAGCACCAGCTGCTGGAGTGCTGTGGGAATGGAGACTGGCACCAACCAAGGAGCCTCTGTACCTGGCCCCACGGACACCCACGCTGTCACAACCCCGGCTCCCTCAGAGTTCCCAAAGTCCCATAGTGGGCCGACGTGCTGGCAGCAGCATACACTTTCCAAAGTGTGTCCCTGATTCCTGTAAGTGAACAGCTCCCAAATCTGAGAGTCATCCTTGGTCAGGGACTCTGGCTGTCTCGCTGGGATCTTAATGTATGCAGATACAATTCCTGTGTTGGCGAGTTGGGAAAAACCTGAATTGCTGCCTTTGTTTCCCACCTCTCAGGTGTTCTTGCCTTCTGGTCCTGGCCCCATGCACGCAATCTTTCTGCTTCTCAATGTCACTTGCCCTGTCGCACCCTGGCCTCTCTCTCTGGTTTTTCTGTCCTTTGCAGCGTTGGCTACAAGTGAGAGACTCAGGCAGAGCAGCAGAGCCAGCAGACTTACAAACACATTTGGATTTCAAATAATGAGTCACTTTTTAAATATAAGTATGCCCCGAACATTGCGTAGAACATATACTACAAAATGATCGGTCACGTATCTGAAATTTCAGTGCACCTGGGCGTCTGGACTGTGCCCAGCAAGCTGAGGGAGGAGGCTGATTCACTAGAGTGGATTTCCTCCTGATAAATTCCCTGCAATGACTGCATGCTGCTGCTCACGGGGTGGCCCTGCCGCTGCCACGAATCCTAGGCCGCTGCCCAGACGGAGCCAGGCCCCTCACAGTCTGCGGACTCAGTGGCCTCCTGAGGGTCCCAGCAGAGGGTAGAACCAGTCCCGCCACTTTGCCTACCCCAGCGTCTCCTGAGCCTCGCAGTTCAAAGCAAGGACAGTAGGTTTCCAGGCCCATCTTGCAGGTGCTGTGGCTTCATGCCAGTGGCCCACAGGGAAATAGCTTGAGCGTACTCGCAGTGGAAAGTCTGGAAGTCTGGTGCTGTAGCTGGAAGCACACCCTCCTCTGCGCCTGCCCGGTGGGCTCGGCGGAGTGGGTAGCTCCTGATAACCTTTCCAGGGCAGTGCTCCGTGCAGACCCTTCACCTCCTGCTGGACCAGGGTCTGGGCCTGTCTTGTGCTGGTCTCAGCCTACTGACAGAGCCTGGGGGCACTCCCCTGGGCCCAGGTTCCCCTTTTGGAATCAATGTTGTGGCTGGACCTGCCCACAGGGTTCTCATTATGACTGCAAGACGCTACTGCAAGATGCTCTCGGTTGCTCTCAGCAATAAACCGTCAGGAAACTTCGAAGACAAGGTTTACGATTCACAGGCCTGGAGAGTACACAGCAGTCCAGAGACCACAGCAAGGTCTCAGGAAGAGTGAGAGAGCCTGTGGGCCTGGGGTTCTACTTTTACTGGGGTCCAGGGTGGGGGCATAAGGTTTTGCAGTTCACTCTTTTTTGAAGAAGAAGAAGAAGATTAGCCCTGAGCTAACTACTGCCAGTCCTCCTCTTTTTGGCTGGGGAAGCCTGGCCCTGAGCTAACACCCATGCCCATCTTGCTCTACTTTATATGTGGGACGCCTCCCACAGCATGGCTTGCCAAGCAGTGCCATGTCCGCACCCGGGATTCGAACCAGCGAACCCCGGGCTGCTGAGAAGCAGAATGTGCGAACTTAACTGCTGCGCCCCCTGGCAGGTCCCTGCGGTTCACTCTTTATTGTTGAATTTAAAACATAAGGGCGAGAATTAAGGCATGGGAAGGGAAGGACAAGAGGCCACACAGCCAGTCATCTAAGTCACCCAGAAATCTCTGGAGCAAAGGAAACTTGTGGGAGGCTCTTTATCTGGTCTTTCTGCGTCTACTGAAGATAGAGACAGCCCTGTTTGAAGCGGATCCCTTGGAAGTCAAAGCTTAAGCGAGCACTTGCATTACAATTAAAAAAACCCCAACTGTCAGGGCTCACATTACAAAGCCGCTGGGAGCTGGGACCTGGAGGAGAGGGAGGCCAGAGGAAGATTCTCCTTCCTGCCACCCTCGCCTCCCACTGGGCCCTCTGTGGCCCCAACCCTGCTGGAGGTGAGAGGGCGTGCACGGTGGGCCCACCTCAGCAGCTCGGTGCTGACAGCTGCAGAGAGAAAATAGACCCTCCGCTCGGCTGCTCTTAATATCAAATGCAGAACAACTACAGGATCTTGGGGCAGTCAGGGGCCGGTGGGGGCAGGCCAGTGCACATAGCCACTGCCCAGGCAGGAAGAGCTTGGCCCGGCATGTGCAGCTGACCCTCGGGGCCCTCCAGGACTGGGTCACTGAGGTTTGGAGGCCAAGCAGGCCTCCGCAGTGGCGAGTTCCATCATCCACTGGAGAGCTGGTCAGGGGCACAGCTCTCCGTGCTGGGTAAGGAGGGATGTCCCCCACACAAATGGATAAATGGATGACAGAGTCAGCAGGCCAGATGGGAGGGGTTGGAAATAGCATTCTGAGGGGCCTCTGGTGCCTTTGACTCCGTGCCCAGACAGTGGCCATTCGTGCCTCAATCACAGACTGATAGTCCAAAGTCCCTGGCAGCACTTCCAAAACAGTCTCAGAGACATCTCCTGACTTCCAGGTAAGGGCGGGATTCCCCAGGAGTGGGAGTGGTGGCAGAGGCAGGACGGTGCAGTGAGCAGGGAGGGGCGCCCCTGACTGGCAGACCTGGCTCCCCTGCCAGTCACCTGTGGGTCTGGACTGCTCAGTGGGCAGCTGTGCCGGTCACTGTCCTCACAGATAAGCCTGGATTTGAGCGTTGGTGACCGAGCATTGGGCCTGGCTCAGATCTAAGCCCGGGTCCAAAGAGAAAGCGCCAGGCCATTGGTCAGGGCTAGGTGGAACCTAGCAGAGCTGTAGGAGCCCCAGACAGCTAGGGCAGCAGGATGTGTGTGAAGACATTGGAGAGCTTCCTCATCTCCAGCCCCATTCCGTCTCTCTCCAGCCTAGCTGCTTTCATCTCAAATCCAGCTCTTGGCAGGCAGCTCCCCCTGTGCTCTTATGAGGTAGAAGTTTGTGTCTCTCCTTTACAGATTTGGCTCAGATGAGTTAAGACTTGTCCATGGTTCTGGGCCGTTTCTGGATATCATGCCCCAAAGCTGGAGATGTCCCCAGCCCCAGGCTCTGACCCTGCTGGTGGGGAGCCCAGCACAGCTCTATAGGACTACCCTTGTTGGGGGTTGCTCTGCGTTTTTGGTGGACTCCTCGCCCCTTGAGGAGTCCTGCCTGGAGGAGGGGGAGTCCTAGGTCCTCTTGTTCTAAAAGCGTGGACCTGACATTTGGCCCCAGCCCAGGGGGAAGCTGCGGCCCCCTCTGCCCGGTCCTTCCTCCGTTCCAGGACTGGAGCTGCCCTGAGCAGCTGTTCTCAATCCAGAACAGGGGACCTCCCCACCCCTGCCAGCACTACAGACAGGCCCTGGGCGTGGAACTGGCTGCTGCCCCCTGCTGTCCTCACCACAGGGGTCTGGTCAGTCTTGTGGCCTTTGAGACTTCTGGCGCTGGGCCAATGTTCTTGCCCATCAAGATGCCGATGAGATGCACAGCTGGCTCTCCGTGCCACCCAGTGCCACAGGGGTTGTGATGGAGGCCATAGCACCAGCCCAAGGTGGATGCAGTGGGGGAATCTAGAGGGGTGGGACTCGGGTATCCCTGTGTCCAGATTCTGGAACCACCCAGGGGCTTTCACAGTGGGAGGCAGGACCACAGGGAGAGCGTAAAGAGCCATCAGGAAGTGCCTGTGGCTGAGGACAGGGCTGTCCGGGGTCTGGGGGAAGGTTCAGGGGAGGCTGGGGGCTTTGGGCATCGGGAAGAGGAGGCTGGCATCCCTGCCAGCTCTCAGCGGGAACAGACACTGGCCTCCCTCTGAGAACATGACAGAGGATGGCCAGGGGCCACCTTTCTAGAGGCTGCACCCCTACGGAGGCCACCAGGTAGTGGTAGGGGTCCGTGGCACTTCCTGGTTTAGTTGTCTTGTGGTCATTTCATTGCGTACTAGAAAAACATAGGTATATATAGCACGTCCATCAATGACTTACAGATGCGCATTTCTCAAGGTGAGGCTAAAATAGATAATAAGGTTTGAAAAATGAGTCAGTGTAAAGTAACTGTTAGGATTTCAGGGTGTGTGGTGTGGTGAAAACCTCGGTGGCTGTCAGCTGGGGAGGCTGATGGGGCCGGGGGTCTGGTGGGGCTGACCTTATCTGGGGAGCTTGCCCCCTCCACCCTGGCAGGCAGACAAAATGCCCCAGAGCAAAGGGCAGCCAGGCCAGGAGTGATCGAAGCTCAGGGCCGGAGCACCCCCACCGCCACCCCCACCCAGGGGGCCTTGCCCTCGAAACTGAAGGTTGGCATCCTCCCAGAGCAACAGCTAGACCTCAGACCTCAGCCTGGCTTCCACCCTACCCCACCCCCAAGGCTGGGCTGCCTTCCTTTCACTTGTCAGCACACACCCTCCCTCTCAAAGTCCAGCTGAGCAGGTCATCACGTGGCACATAAATACGTCTTCACTGAGGTCACCACCTCCCCGTGTCACCTGGCCCAGGTGAGGACCAAGGCTGACCTTTGACCTATCCAGCTGGGCTGAAGTGGCCTACCGAGGGCCCACTGCTGCTGGGACTGACCGAGCCCTTCACAGTGAGGAGGCTGCACAGTCCACAGGGATTGAGCACCTGCTGTATACAGAGCATCTACTGCAGCATCTGTCTGTCGCCATGTCTGCGTGAAATGAGGCCCTCGCACACACAGGTTTGCAGGCCCAGGACTGAAACAATCCATCCAGTCATTTACTCTCAAGCAACAATCCAGGAAATTTACTTGAAACTTGAAACACGAGTCTAAACTTATTCGGAAGGATAAACACCCGATCACAGTGAGGACGGTGTGTGAGGAGGATGGTCCGACCAGGAGGGCCTCCTTCTGGATGCTGCAGGCCCCTGGGCCCCTCCCTTCAGGGAGGACATGCCTGCCCTTCCTGCTGAGTCCCGAGGTTGCTGTGGTGGAAACAAATGTGTCTGGACAGAGGATTCGGGGCGGTGTGTCTGTGCAGCTGGGCATTTGGTAGGTGCACCGGGCCGCCAACAGGAAGCTCTGCAGCTCACTCCGTGCCCAGGGCACAGGGGTGGCCACCTGGGTGGCATTCTGGTTTAGGTTCCTTGGATGTGAATCCTCCGTGCAGCCCTGAGGACACCTGCCCACTGGCTCAGGTATGCCTTCACCTGTCCTGGCAGGGCTGGAGTCCTGGGGATCAGCATGCTGCCTCCCCGGGAACGTGTCCTCCCACATCACTGGCTGGGGGCGAGCTTGGCCTGCCTCCTCCTGCCCCCAGAGACCAGGGAACCGGGACCCGCACTGGACTGCTGCGGAAGTGTGGATGCCAAAGGCTGTGCGGAGGTCGGCCAGAGGCGGCAGAGCAGAGACAGCTGTGTGTCTGCTGATGGCTGAGGGACAAAGGTGGTGTCCTCTGAGGCCACTATGAGGGAGGTGCAACCCCATGGAAGCCCTGGATCCTGTGACAAGGGAGCAGCCCTGGGAAGTCCCTGGGAGACCTCTGAGGACCTGCAAAGTTCCCAGCAGACTGTTCTTGAGGCAGAAAGAAACTGGAAACACTGAGGCGCCTCCCAAGGCTTCCTCCAGGGCCCGGCCAGTGGCCAGAGGTGAGACCACACAAGGTGAATTTCTGCCCACATCCTGCAAAGTGCAGCTCGTGCATGACCCAGAGTCAGGAGCAGGACCGCGCCCGGCAGGGGCTCCCTTCAGGTGGGCACAGAGGGCTCTGGCCAGGGGGCGGGAGTGACCACCAATGATCAGCAAGTATGGCTTTCGGCCCCTCGGGTGTGTCAGAAGCTTCCAATTTAGGAAAAGATATTTTGTAAAAATATTCAGGAAAAGGATTGATCAGATCTTATCTGAGGTGCCAGGATAAGCCCCAGCATGGGCAATTGTGACACCTCTTTCTAGAACCTTCCATCCACATAAGGTTTCCAGCAACATTTAATGGTGATGAGCTGTTTATGCCCAATCCTGGCGACTGCTGACAGGTCCTGAAACTGGAAAGGCTGCCACTGGACTGTGTCCAGCTGTGAGGTCTCAGCCTGTTTTGCATTATCTGAGCAGGTTCAGGCAGGATCAGGGCAGGCGTCCCTCTCCACTCAGTCACCAAATTCCTGGTTCAGAGAAAAAAAAGTTGATTAAAATTATGTTAACGTTCTTGTGGAAAACAAACATCTAAGGAAAGACTAACAGAGCAACAAGGGAGAAGCTGCCTCCCCAGGGTGAAGACAGACACAGACGGCTTGAAACCCATGCCAGTGTCCTGCGTGGAGAGGCCCATCAGCAGGTCCCGAGCGCCCTGTGGGCCGGGACAAGGAGTCTCACTCAAGCAACGCCTGGGGTGCAGTGTGCCCTCCTTAGGAAGACACAGAGCCGGCCGTCACACGTCCATGCAGAACGACTTTGCCGTGGATTCAAGATTTGAAGATAAAAATAGATGAGATTTGGCCATCCGTGGATTCCCCACAGTCTGGGAGGCCTTTTCCAAAGGACACTTCAGACAAACAACAAAAAATACTTTTGAAACAAAACCTTGAAGTTTTCAAGGCAGAGACAGACCAGACATACCATACAAACATGCAGAGTTTTTATTCCAGAAACGATCAAGGGAGAAATGAGCGACTGGGGAACACAATTGCTTCACAAATGACAGTTTCTTTAAGACATGAAAGTCTTCTAAACCCGTAAGGAGAAGACAGACAACCTCAGAAAGATGGGCAAAAGGTTTGCAAAGGCAGTGACAACACGGAAACCCAAAGAGCCAGTAACAGGATGAGATGGCCGGTGCCTCTGCAGTCGGGACACGCCTGTGAGGCACAGGGAGTCTCGTGTCACCTGGAGAAGCTTAGGTGAGGGGGCAGGCGGCACTGGGGGCTGTGGGGAAGGGGCGGCCCTCACGCAGTCGCTGAAATCGAGCACCCCCAACTCACCGCAAAGTGAGAACCAGATGCAGAGAAATGGACATAACGCGACCCCAAAATGCTCCCTCCATGTGTCTGGGGTTTGTGCGTGATTATGTGTGAGTGAGAAGGAAGCTGGGTCACGTAGTCACTGGGGCACGGTTGTGGGGTTAGGGGAGGGAACAGTGTCTGCATGTCCTGGGGCAGCCGTAACAAAGGACTACACAGAGGGGTTCAAGACAGCAGAAGTTTCTCATTTCACGGTTCTGGGCCAGAAGTCCCAAATCCAGCTGTTGGCAGGGCTGTGCTCCCTCCAAAGCCTCCGGGGCAGCATCCTTCCTGCCTCATCCAGCTTCTGGTGGCTCCAGCGTTCCTGGGCTTGTGGCTGTATCAGTCCACTCTCTGCTTCCGTCGCCCCGTGGCCTTCTCCCTGAGTGTCTCTCTCTTTGTGTTTAAATTCCCCCTTTTTATAAGGACATCAGTCATATTGGATTTAGGGCCCAACCTACTCCAATTGACCTCGTCCTAACTAATCATGTCTGCAAAGACCCTATTTCCAAATAAGGTCACATTCACAGGTACTGGGTGGACATGTCCTTTGGGGGCCACCATTCACCCCAGGACATACGGTTCAGAGGGAGAAAGGAGGGAGGACGGGGGGCGGCGGAGTACCTGTGATTAAGTATCTCATCTAATATGATTCCACTTACGTAAAACCACATGCATGTGCGTGCACACGCGTGTACAAGAACACACTTGAAAGAGGGGCCCTGAGTGCCCACCGCCTCTCTCAGGTAATGTCTTCCCGGTGGTTCTTCCATCCTCGGCTGTTCTCTGTCGGTTGCTGTTGTTTCACAAACGTGGTACATATATCATGAGAAAAAAAAGCTGCCCTCCGGTAACAATAAATCAGGAACAGAAACAAGTCTAGAAAATCAAACAGAGGAAGCCTGGAGGCAGCAGCACCGGCCACACCAGCTCAGAACCGACACACCCAGGGAGGCTGTGCTGGGGAAGTCTGCCCCCAGCGTGGCTGGACGGGACTCAGCCCCCCGGGTGAGTTGCATCTGTGATATCTCAGGACCTGCAGCTGTCTCCTTGCAGCCGGGTCACCCAGGCTGGGCAGACAACATCGCAAAAGGAGGCCCACCTACCCTTCCACCCCATCCCCTTGCCCAACTGGAAAAAAAAGTAAAAACAGCTGAACTCAAAACCAAAGGGTCCCAACTCTATGACATTCTGGAAAAAGCAAAACTATGGAGACAGTAAAGAGATCAGGGACACGGAGGGGGACACGGTGTTTTCAGGGCAGTGGAATTAGTCTGTGTGATACCATAATGTGGATACATGTGTCCAAGCTCACATTATGTCCAACACCAAGGGTGACCCGTAATGTACACTATGGACTTTAGTCAATGATAACACATCAGTACTGGCTTATCAATTGTACAAATGCACCATGCTACTACAAGACACTAATAATAGGAGAAACTGGGGTGCCAACATAGGGGAATTCTCAGCACTTTCTGCCCAATTTTTCCATAAACCTAAAACTGCTCAAAAACAAAAGAGAAAAGTCTGTTATTATTTTATTTTTATTTTTGTTGTTGTTGAGGAAGATTAGCCCTGAGCTAATATCCGTGCCAATCTTTATATGTGGGACACTGACACAGCATGGCTGATGAGTGGTATAGGATCCAAACCTGCGAACCCCGGGCTGCTGAAGTAGAGTGCACGAACTTAACCACTAGGCAACACGGCCCCAATTATTATCATTATTATTAATCAAATGGTCAACAAATGGTCTGGCAAACAATTTTAAAATACTTTTAAATAGTTTAAACGCATCAGGATAAAGGGCAGTTTCATGAAGGCCGAGTGATCCCAAGAGCCTGAGATGGGCCTGTTCAGAGGAAGTGAAAATCCACGATTTCCGGATTCTAACGCGTGACTTCCACAGGAAGACTTTGTTGATAAGGAAATTCAGCAAGTGGACCAAGTATCCCTAAGGAGGTCCTGAAGTGAAGCTGGTGCGCCCAGCCACAGAATGCACAAGGGGGGTGGGGACTGGGGGCATCCAGGGGGTCTTAGGACAGTGTCAATGCAGAGTGGGCCCCAGAGTCTATGTGGCACCAGCCGTTTCCATAGGACACACGACGCAGGCCGTTTTGCAGGTTTTACTATGAAACTGGAAAGATAAACCCAGATTGGGGGTGGAGGGGCGGGCGGTTATCTCCCAGTGCCTTGTTTCCTGTCTTGTTGGACAGTGGCCAGCACTGTGCACATTATAAAGGCACCAAGAAGGGCGGGGGGCAGGCTGCACGGAGAAGGGGTGGGCGGAGGCTCCAGCATTCACAGACCCCTGCCTGCCCCTGCCCAAGCTGCAGCCGCTCCCGCTCACTTCTGCAGCAGCCCGGGGGGCCTCTGACCCATCGGCTTTCCTTCCTCCAGGGAGTGTCCCAAGAACCGTGGAGGAAGATGCTGAACCCCTGAGGCCTGTCCGCTGACCATGCTGACCTTGGCATCCCCTGTCCTCCTTGCTAGGATGCTCTGGGCCCTCCTGCTCCTGGATGCCTCCTTCAGTGCTCAGAAAGGAAGTAAGTCTCAGGGTCCCACTCTCTCTGCCGGGGGGGGGTTCAGTGGGGGCAAGCCAGGGATGGGGGCAGCAGACTGAGTTCAGGCCCAGGAGGGGCCGAGGCCCCAGGGAATGTCAATAACCCTAGGGCGGGCAGTCTGTGAATGTTCTGAGCCCCAGCCATGACCCACGTGAGTGACCTTCCCCTCCGCACAGGCTGGGACAACCCTACCTGCACCCAGGGCGTGGTGTCTGTGCCCAGGGGGGCACGTGCCATGATGGCCTGCAACATCTCCAACCCCTTCTCCAACATCACCATCTGCCTGAGTGTGGCGGCAAGGACGGACTGCCAGTACATCTTCAGGAATGCCCCCCAAGGAAACACCTCTCAGGATGGGTGGCACCTGCGGGTTCAAGGAGGCATGGCACAGCTTGTGATTGAGGACGCCTGGGACAATCAGTCTGGCCAGTACAAATGGCGTCTCCAAGGAGGCCAGATAAACGTTGGAATCACCACCCTGAATGTCTCAGGTGGGGGAGGGGCATCTCGACCCCCCAGGCATTTTCCTGCCTGCCCCCCAGGGGCTCAGCAGTGGCTGGGCTGGGAGGGCAGGCCTGGATTCCAGCAAAACGAAGCCACACAAAGCTCTGCCATCACCCAGAGACCCCGTGGGCCCCTTGCCTTCTCCAGCAGCACCCCACTCCCGCAGCCTCACCCTGGGCGCCAGCCACCCAAAGAGCCAGCACTCTCCCAAGACCAGGACCCCTCTCTGACCACCCCCTCCCAGCTTCACCACTAGCTCCCCTCGCACCTGTCCCCACACCCCCTCCAGGACACGCTGGTTACATCTAACGGCGCCCCCTTCACACCCCCGTGGCCACAGTGACCCGCTACCCTGCTCCACTCACCAGCCCCTCTGCCCTCTCTCCCGCCCCCTCACTCTCGCCCAGGATCCGGCTACTTATTTGATTCACTGAGGAAATGGAAGCAATTAGCAGAGAACATCCCCAAGCTGCCCTCCCACCTCCCCCTCACCTCTGGGCCCCCCTCCATGACCTCCCACAGGATCACAAGTCCCCTCCCCTGGGCTGCCCCTGCATTTGGGCCCTGGATGTTCCCCGACCCCCACCTGCTGCACAAGGGCAATGACCCCTAAACCCTCCTCTCCACCCCACTGCTCCTCTTCCACCCCTTCCTTTGCTGTAAAACTCAGCAAGTCTCCACCGCCCCCCACACCCGCTTCTAACCCAGTCATGGTCACCCTGAGCACTAGGGGCAGGGAGCAGTGGTTCAGCTTTGCCCCCCGCCCCCAGGGGCAGGGAGAGGGGCTGAGACCCGTGCCCCACACTGGCCAGGCCCTGGGAGGGGGACCCAGTGAGCCCTTCATGGACTCCTGTATCCAGGTCTCATCCGACACCTGGGACTGGGGGTGGGGACTGCACCAGGGCTGGGCCTGGACAGGCCCCTAACCTGCCTGTGTCTCCTCGGCAGAGCCCCAGGACCCACTCTTCACACCTTACCCAGGTGGGTGTTTGCTTCCTTACCCCGAGGTGCAGGCGAGGAGCCTGTGCCCCCGGAAGCCCCCTCGGGTCTCCCAGCCCTCTGTGCCTGGCACCCAGGCCCATCCTGCACACCCCATCACCCCTCCCACTCTCCCACCCTGGGCCACGGGAAGTGATGTCCCCTCCCAGGTTTGCTCCAGGAATGCATGATGAAGGCCTCCCGCCCACTTTCCGGCAGGCCCAGAGTCGCCACGCCCCCTGCATGAGGTGGGGAGCCAGTCTGATATGGTCTTTGTCATCCCTGTCATTGTCATCCTCTTCATCCTGGTGCTCGGCATGTGGGCCTGGTGCAGAAGGCGCCATTCCCTGAAGCTCTCAAATATTCCGCAGGTACGAGGCCCTGCTCCTTGTCTATGGGCCAGCAGGGGGACTGGGTGGGGGTCACCCCGGACTTGGCCTGGACACTCGGCCGCCTGGCCTTGCACCCACCGGGGCTAGGGGGAGGAGTGGGAGTGTGGGGTCCCAAAGAGCCAGTGCCCCTCCCCAAGAGGACCCTAGCTGGCTATGGCAGTCCCAGGCCCAGAACTTGTGTACCCCACTCCCAGCCAGGCCTCTGGTTTCCCATTGTCCCTCAAGCCTCACTTTGTCCCCAGGGTGCCCGGGAGGACAGCATGGGTGGGGAGGCTGCACTTCCTGCTCCTTCCAGGAGACCTAGGATGTATGGGTACGGGGGCGGGAGCGGTGCTGCATGTGCGTGAGCGTGTGTGGTGGGTGTGTCTGTGTGTGCATGTGTGTGAGTGTGGATGGTGGGTGGGTGTGTGCCTGAGTGTCTATGTGCACTGGTTTCTGCTCACAGCTGTCATTTCTCCCTCCCCAGAGGGGTTGGTTCAGAGCCCCAGGAACATGGGCCTGTTGGGAGGGTGATCCAGCCCTCTGGGCATCTGGCATCAAGCCCCAGGAGCCCCACCCTGACCCAGAGGCTGCCAGCACAGGGTGATCACAGCCCAAGCAGTGGAGGCCTGCTTGTCCCCGTCTCCCCCACCCGGCTGACAGATACCTGTGAACCCATCAGCACTGGTCTGCTGGCCCGGAGACCTGCCCAGTGTGCGGTCTTCGGCAGCGGCTTTTTCAGCCGAGTGAGGACTCTGGGTCCCACGCAGAGAGTGGACCCAGGGTGAAGACCGTGGCCTCCTGGGAAGGCAGGCCACGCAGGCCCTTCCCACTACGTCCTCAGCAGCTCTCTTGGCTCCCTCACCCTTTGGCCAGAAATGCAAAAATCTAAGTTCCAGAGCAGTTGACCTGATGGGACGCTCTCCCTCGTGGGCCCGCCCACTGCGGGCGGTGGGTGCCTCCTGCGCGCGCTCCCGCCCCAGGAGCAGGAGGGGCACGCGGGTAACCTCCAGACGCGCCCGGTTTTGGTCTTAAGTGGATCTCGGGCACGCTCCTGGCGTTTGACTACGAGCAGGAACAGGTTTTGGGGACCCTGCTGCCAGCAGCGGCGAGGCCCAGAGCGGGGACGGGAAGCCTAAGGTGGTGCGTCGGCCCCCACCACCAGGGGGCGCAGCCGCGGCGCCGGCCCTGAGGAGACCCACGGGCGGCTGGGCGGTCCGGGCGGGTCCCACCCGCGCCTCCCTCGCCCGGCTGCCCTGCCCCGTCCGCCCTGCTGGCCCCGACCCATCCCACACCGGTTCACGCAGCAGTATTCCTAATCCCCGTGCATTCTTACTACATACATATAGGGCTTTTTCGAGGTGAATAAAATAAGCCAAGCGGGACCAGCCCCGTGGCGGAGTGGTTCAGTTCGTGCGCTCGGCTTCGGCGACCCGGAGATTCGCTGGTTCGGATCCCAGGCGCAGACATGGCAGCACTCTTGAGGCCACGCTGAGGCGGTGTCCCACGTGGCACAACCCACAACTAGAACATACAACTGTGTACTGGGGGCTTTGGGGAGAAGAAGGAAAAAAAGGAAGATTGGCAACAGATGTTAGCTCAGGTGCCAATCTTTAAAAAAAAAACCAACCAGTAAATCATCAAATGAGCTGAGAAATAAAATATTTTTTAAATGGAAAACATAAGAATCTAAAAGAAGCTGCTTCATGTCTTAAAGTGATAAAGAGTCCTGAGGCGTTTGAAAGGTACTGACATCTGGAAGCCCCTGCTCACTGTGAGGAACCACAAACTGGAGGCCCCATGTGGTGCATGGTGACCACTGCGACCGCGGGCATGTGCCGCCGCCAGGCAGGCCTATCCCAGAGCCAGGCTGACACCTGCCAGACACAGCGGGCGCCGCACCAGGGCCTCCATGCTCTGCGGGCTGCAGAGATCTATTCTGTCTCACTGGAAACAGACCAAAAGTGTTGGGGCAGATAAAGTGATATCTAAGGTCGTTTTATTGTTGATCTCAAGGTGGAAGGGGCCCACGAAAGTCCTTCTGCTCCCTGCACACCCCAGGCAGGACACCTGGAAGGAAATATGGCATCTGCATTCTCACAAGGCCCTCGAGGCCCTGCTACCCTCCCCCCATTCCACCCCACCCCACCCCCGGCCCCATCCTGCCCCAGTGCTGCCAGGTGACTGATGTGATGAGCCAGATTCCTGGGTGTAAATCAGGTTCCAGCAGAAAGTGTCCCAGAGGACGAGGGCAGCTGGAGCCTGACCCGCCCCACCCAGGGGGCCCCCTTGTCTTTCTCCTAATCCTGACTCCTATCCCCTGGCCTCACCCTCTTCTCTCCTCTCCCCTTATGTGCCCTGTGGAGACACAGCAACGGTGAGGAACCAGGGCAAAGGGTCACCCTGTGGGCACCCAGTGAGGCAGTGGGACTCAGCCAGGTCTGCCTCCCCCCGCCCATGGCTCCACCTCCAAGAAGCCCTCCCCCCAAGTGTCCCAGCCACCACCTGCCGCCCTCTCTGCCTGCCTCCTACTCCGTCTCACCTTGCCTGGACCCCTGGGAGGTGACCTTTCATCAGGACTTTTGGGGTGGGGCCTCCGAGGCGCACACAGTTGGGTGCTGCAGACAGGAAGAGACTTGCGGCTGGCTGTGAGGGATCCTGCCTTTTGCCTGCCGCTGGGTCCACGGTGGGTGGGGTGGCAGCGAGCATGGCCCCGGGGCTCTCTCTGCTCCCCTTGCTCCTGGCCCTTGTCCACAACCTGCTGAGGGCCCTGACCGCCCAAGGTAAGCGCTTCCCAGCTGCCCTGCTGCCCCTGACTCGGATGCTCCTTCCCAGGAAGAGGGTGGTCTGGGGATGCTGAGCATGACCTTCCCGCAGAGCCCCCCACAGACCTTGAACACCTGTCACAAAACAACGAGCAGCAGACGTTGGTAACGTCTGGGTGCAGAGTCACCAGCTTCGAGCTCTCTTTTCTCTTTACCTGAATGTCCAGATTCTCTTCTACAGTTAGCAAGGTGGCCTCTGTCATGAGAGAACTCTGCCCTTTAGTTTGCTTTTTAAAACAGATACATGTGTGAAGTTCTGCAGTGAGATGGAAAGGCCAGTGACATAAAGTAGGGTGGGGGGATCAGCCGGCACAATTCTTGTGCAAAAAAACAAAAAAAGGAGAGAAAGAAAGAGCTGCAGAATTTAGTTTGGGGAGAAGCTGATGTTTGCATTAGGTTAAGGAAGGTTTGCGTCTGCACCAGGAAGCTGGTCCCGCTGCTCCCCAGCTGGGCAGAGGGGGGACGTTTCTGGTGTCCCACAGACAAGACAGGATGTGCCCACCCCACAGAGCCACCAGCTCCAGGTGCCTGGAAACATGGGGAAACTGAGGCACCAGCGTTGGAAAGAGAGAGGGAGACTGACAGTGCCTCCTGCTATCTCAGGGACTGTCCTGGAAGGGAGGGAGAGGGTGTGGAGTCAGGGAGAGTGATCAGAGCCCCCCAGGGGAGGGCCGGCTGTTTGGAAGGAAGAAGCCCAGCTCCACCTTCCCTGGAACTTCAGGGTGGGGAGAGGTCGAAGATGGCCCGGTCCCTGTGGCCCCTTCAGCGCTCAAGTGTAGCCACTGGGTGCTGGCGCCCTGAGCTGCTCCAAGGCTCCCACAGGGTGCCTCGTCCAGGGTGATGTGTCAGCAGCGGGCTGTCCCAGGGCCCCTCCATCCCACCACCGTCCCCTGCAGACAGACAAGTCCCTGCTCCTGCAGCCAGGCAGGTGGTGACGGTGGCTGGGCCTCCCTGCAGAGGTGCAGCAGTCCCCTCCCTACATAATCGCCCCAGAGGAGAGTTCCATCAACATCACCTGCTGCACCAGCGGGACCCTGCTCGGGCTCCACCTGAAGCAAAGTTGGCCGAAGCCCAGCAACGTGATTTATTATGAGGGTGAGAGGAAGACTACCGTGGACGAACGGTTCTCGGACCGCGTCACCTTCTCAGGGCCACGAGACAACTTGACTATCACTGTGCACCACCTGCAGCTGGCTGACACCGGCATCTACACCTGCCAGGCCATCATGGAGAACATCAGGGAGATCCAGGGCCCCGGGACCTCAGTCGTGGTGACAGGTAGGGAGCGTGCCACCCCAGGACCATTCCACCTACATGCTGGCCAGGCTGGCCTCTGCCTGCCACTGTCTGGGGACCTTCCCTCTATACTTGCTTGAGTGGTTCCTTCCAGCTCAAGCCTGCCTCCTCCAGCAAGCCTCCTGGATTGTCCCCCACTCCAGGTCCCCTCCCTGCCCTGAACCCCAAAAGCTCTCATGGAATCCCCCACCTGCCAAGTGCCTCTCTCTGTTCCTTCTTCCCAGACAAACTGTCCCAAGCAGTGAACACATGCCGGGAGGCTCAGCTGATACACCCTGCCCTCCCCACGGCCCTGGCTGTGGGCTTCTTCCTCATCGGGCTAGGACTGGGGGCGGTGTGTGTGCTGAGGAGGACCCAGGTCAGTATGAATGCCCCAGCTGTTACCTGCGTCCCTATAAGCTGGCTCGTCTTGGAGAGCAGGGAGGGAAGAAGAGTGGTTAAGCCAGAGAGCTGGCCAGACGGGAAACCCCAGCACCCACCCGTCCCCTCCATCAGGCTCCCCTGGAGCTCCAAGGGTTTGGATGGCAGGGTGGAAGGTGGGAGGGAAACTCAAGAACTGGAGCCCAGACCAAGTCCTAAGGATACAGGGCGGGCCGGGGCCGGGCGGGGTACCGGCAGGATGTGCTGCTCAGTAATTTGAGGGTGAGGGTGGGAGGAGGGTCCAGAGAGACCGGTCAGAGAGCTTGGGGATGCCTGCGTGTGACTTCCTGTGTGATGTGTGTGCGTATGTGAGTGCGCGTGTACATGTGAGCGTGTGTGAACATGTGCTGCAGGTGGGAGGGGAAGGAGGTGACGGAGACAGGGGCCAGGAATCGGTCAGTTCTGCCCCTGGTCCCTCAGATGTTTGCCCCTCACCCCCGCCCTTCCCCAGCTTCACGAGCTTCTGGTCCCTGTCCAGGTCCTTGGGGGCAAGGTCACTTCCAACCTCCCTGCCACTGCCCCCTGGGCTGCCCCACCCCCTTGCCCAGGCCTGGGGCAGCTCAGGACAACTGAGGGGCGGGCTGCAGGCCCAGAGGCCCTGCGGCGTTTCAAGGCTAAAATCTAAAGGCTTCCTAAGGGGGTGTGCGTTGAAGAAAGAGGGTCCCCAGAGGGAGCTGGCCCCTTGTAGGGAGACGACAGGCTTTATCTTTCAGATCAAGAAACTCTGCTGGGCCAGTGATAAGAACTCGGTGTGTGTGGTGTACGAGGACATGTCCTACAGCCGCCGCAACACAGTGTCCACCCCCAACCCGTACCAATGAGCCCCGTGGGCCCCCTGGGCCTCCCTCTGCCCGAACAGAGCTCCGGGAAGACCAGCGGAGCCAGTGCCAACGCGAGGGCAGCTTCCTGCAGCAGTCAGGCTCTGGGCACCTCCTCTGAGAAGTCTTCTTTGGCTGCCTCCTGCCCTCCTCTCCCTGCCCAGCTGCCCCTGGCTCCTTGAAGCTACCAGGGAGAAAGTCTGTCTGTCTCTCTGTCCTGCTGCAGCCAGGGGCAGCAGGCAGCTTGGTGCGGGGGGGAGAGGGGGCAGCCACTGCCAGAAATAAAGTGCTTCTCGTCTCCCTATTCTGACCCCAGTGTCTGTTTCTCAACCAGCTCAGAGTGGAGGAGGGAGAGGCCTGCCTGG